ACATAGCCTTCAAAGAGTTTCAGTGTTCTTCCATGCAGGTTTCTCCACAGATGTTGCTTAATGTCTCCCGTTTTGTTCTGATGACTGGTTTACATGAAGATATCCTTCGCAGTTTCATCCTTCAGTGGAGTTTCTGTTCTGGGTAACGTTGAACTTGAAATGTGGCCGTCTACCACCAAATTCTTTGAATTGGAGGCTTTCAACTTGATTTTGAAAGTAGGTTCCTCGCACTAGGTAGTGAGTATCGTGAACCTACATATGCCCCCCTCCTTCATCTGATCTTGTGTCCAGTAAGCTGCTTCTCCATCTCCACTTTCTTCACATTGAAATGAAGTCGATCTGATTTTTAGTCTCTCCTGGCGTCTGGTGAAATCAATCTAGCTGCGTGGATATCCTTGTCCGTGAACACAAAGCCTATAATCACCAAATCGTTAGATGCACAGAAGTCTGCAAACAGTTCTCCATTATCGTTCATTTCATCAAGTGCTTCTCCACCCATGATCAGTTCTCTTCCTGTGTTGTCCGCTCCACGCAGTTTGGCATTCATGTCACCCCAACTATTAGAACTTTGATGTCACTGTCGCCATCTGGGGTGGGGTCTTGTCCAGTACTAATTGCAGTTGTCTGTAGAATTCCTTCTTCTTCTTCTCCTCATCTTCATTATTTGTAGGTGTGTAGCGTAGCACTCCATGATTGTAACTTTCCTTCCTTTCAAGTTGAACCTTGCTGTCATGATCCTGATCCTGCAGGAGGAGATTGCTTCCCATTGCATGAGAGAGAGAGCCTTCGATGTTCCTGGCGACATCATGATAGCCACTCCAAAACTCAGTGTGCTCGTGGTCTTACGTCTGGGTGACAATATCCAAGTAGATTATTGACTCTCCAGTTGACAGTTGGAACAGTCCACTTACATTCAATCTACTTTCACAAATTCCAAACACTTCAATGTGATACCTCTTCATCTCATTTGCAATCTGGGCAGCCTTACCAGTCAGCTTCAAACATTGTTCGGACATTCCATGTCCGCACGTCTACTTTCACTTTCATCGAGAGAAGAGAAGACACATCGGCCTGCCAATTGGCTTCCCGAAGGCTTTCACCAACTGGCATCATTTCGCCTCTCCGATTCCAGCGAGGAATAAGTTTGTTTTCATTTTTTATATTTCGTTTGTGCTTTGAAGTTTCTTTAGCGGTTAGATTTGTTTTATGGGGTAGGGTTGCTAGCCCTATGCCCAACCTTTCCTCTTTACCCGGGCTTAGGACCGGCTAGTAACTAGCGAAATAGTTACCTAGACGAGGTTACTACATAGTTAACCTATGAATAAGAAATTTCTATTGAAAATAGTAGGTTCGAGAATAATGCAACGTCCTAAATCTTTGTACCATTGAAATATGTGACAGATCAACTGCATGACTTCTTCAAGACCAAATTTATAGCCAACTTTTAGGACACAGACATTTAGAATCGGTCACCAACTAAAAAACACGATTGGTTGAGTCACTTTCCTTGTGCTTGTCACCTACATCGTCTTGAAGACGATACTATAGCAAAACTGTTAAAAACGGTTGTATGTTCAGATTCTTGTTCTTTCCCACGTAAAACTTTGTTCATGAATCCATAGAAGTGTACAAAAAATCTACATCCTGACCCAGAAGCAATTACAAAACTGGCATGACATTCCACCTTTCTTACAGATAAATTCAGTATAAACTCAGGCATTCAACACTTTAAAAAAAAATAATGCAACTCAGCAAGTACAAGCAGATTCATGCATTACGCAATGAGTCACACATTTGAAGTTACGGCTGACACTTCTATTGGCTTATATCTTGGTCGGTCAAGAGGAGTTCCAACGCACAAATTTGGTTGAAAGGTGAGTACTTAGACTAGAGGAACCACGGCTCCATTAATGCAGCACAGTAGAAAAACCATACAACTTAAATGATTCTACTAAACTGTAGAGAAATATCATCAGAAAAGACTTGTGAGAAAGAAAAATAAATTGAGTTATAGAGCTGATAGTACGAAGTTCCTGAAAACAGGGGTGAAGATTAAAATTCAACAGTAGTAAGGAAAATTCTGCTGGATGTTTTCAGAAAATATTTAACAATGGTTCTCATCCTTACAAAATAATAATTCACTCCACGCAAATAGAAACATCATTTTTACTTAACTAAAAGGTAATGATGGATTGTGGCTAGCAGTGGAATCCAGGATGCGCATTTCGTCCTATTTGGGACTCGTCAGCTGGATGTACCCGCTTCCCAGTGAGTGATGTTGTTCCATCCAGGATTCGGACTCGGGAGCGATCGCTTTAAACGCCAGCGCGTTATCCCGGTGGGAACAACACCACTCACTGGGAAGCAGGTACATCCAGCTGACGAGTCCCAAATAGGACGAAATGCGCATTCTGGATTCCACTGCTAGCCACGATCCATCATTAACATAATTAGAACGCTGGCAGTATCGAGGTATCCGCACAGGAGCCTATATGCTAATAGAGACCCATCAATTCGGTCCAATCAACGACGGTATCATATAAAAACAATTATACTAACTGTAAGTTACTTATATTAATGTTTCACCAAAGGTTTTGTTTAACTTCCTGAAATACATTTCATAAATCCAAAATTCTTTCACTATATCAATCTAGAACCTAGTTCCAAAAGTCATCAAACGACAAAAGTAAAAGGAGGGGATTAATTACAACCAGTAAATCAGTAAGGTGTATCATATATAACAGAGGATCAAAATCAGCAGTAATTGTGTCGCTTTCTTTATTTTCTGTATATTTCATAGGTAATGACTGTATCGTGGCTTTCTCTGAATAAAAAACTGTTACGATGCGGAGTTGTGAGGACGAAGGGAAATACCTAACGATTGGTAGTCGAGGGTTGAGACGATGCAACCCGAGTGATTTGCAAAGAGAAACCAAAAGACTGGAAACCAGAAGAGTCTATAGTATCTCGGATTGAAAACGTTTATGGGTGAGAACGGACCCTATTTATAGAGTTTACAGTAACCTTGAAAGACAGTGGGTAATAAGTACATTTAAAGAGGCAGGAACCAACAAGAACAATAGCGGATCATACGAAATATGACCCATGCACAGGAAAAGAGCGCGAATAAAGCAGTTCAAATACATGCAAACTTTAAGTATGGAATATAAGGGATGTAGGCATCCCTAACGAAAACTTCATATTCATAGTTCCACAGCAGGGTTGTATGATAAATCAATGCATAAGTTGCAATAATTTGCACACTATATTCAATCATTCTGTGCATTCACTTTAATTACACACACTGCACCGTAAGCTGGTTGCTAGACACTCTTCAACAAGGATAAGTTAAACAAAAATCTGGTCAGCAGACGGGTCTCGTAGGTGAGTTGGTAGAGCACTGAACCGTAATCCCCGTGGTCGCTGGTTAGAATCCCGCTCCAGCCCAAATGTTCATTTCACTTACAATCATCACCCAGTATCAATAATACAAGTCTTCCAAACCACGGCTATCTCAAACAGTCAAAGTGATAGAGGATAAGACTGTTTGCTCACTGACAGAAAGTTTTTAAAGTATTATATCTCAGATTATTGCCCAACTACAGGTATTTTATTTCACATATCAGTTATCATTTCAGGCCTGAAATTGGAATCGGTACAGAAGGTATCAACAGAACTATCGTTATGCGAAAGCGCAGATGATTTATTCAGTCATAAACAACTGAATCGGTTTCAATGTGATAAACTGTGTTCGTTATACACCAACTACGTAACCAGTACAGTGAACATACCACAGACTTCTCTGGTTGCCAAAAATATATTTATTTTCATTTCGATAATCACTTGGTTATTGATATCTGTACGTCCATCGTGCGATACTACCAAAAACGGTTCGGCAGTAGCTAACAGCAATTATTGCACAGTTCAACAGTACTTTTAATGAAAGTAATAATGGCATAAAAAAAATGACAGATACAAGTATTCCATCCGTAATTTAAACTTAACAATCAATAGGCTATTTCTAACGAAATAAGACCAGCTTAATTTCTGTTTTAAGTGACCTAAAAAGAAATGTAAACAAACTTACATATCGCAGTAAAACACAACTGTATAGTGCAGTACAAAGCAATTCTCTTAATAACCAGCAATGCCCAGGTGACACATAATGCTAATTTGTGAAAAGTAAGTCAGCATATTAAAGAGGAAAAACTTTATCTGATCAAGATAACCTGGAAATTTCACGGAAGTCAAGTAGCAATTCACATTTAAAAGTACCGTTAGACTACAATCGTGAGAAGTTAGAAAAGTTCGAGGGTAATCAAACTCGAGTCAGTTAGAAGTCTTTAGAACTAATAGTGTTTAAGATTATATCTTGGGCAGTTTAAGCTTATAGTTCATAGTTATCACAATGGTAAGATTCATCATTTCGAAACCCTTTATATTACAGTTTAAATGTGAGTTCAACGGTAAAGTGACGCTGAGCAGTTCCGCTTAAATTATAGAGGCACTCATCTTTTAACCACTATGTGATATAGACAAATCTTGATTTCTTCGCTCAGGTTTGAACGGTCCAGTAGTAACCTAGACCATAATAATTTTTTGTTAAATTACATGACCATTTTTTAAAATACATTGCTTCTATCTGTAAAATGAAAAGAATATAAAATTTTCATTTTGGTCCCACCCATCCCAATTTACTCATCTACTTATTTATAGATTCTTTCATCAATCAGTGTAGAAACACAAAAGCGACGTATACACTTTTAGGTGTTTTGACTGAAATATATATTTATATGTATAAGTCCGCAGTTTTATAGTTTCTTACCAGCAACTTTATTAGTCGATGGCTATCAAGACAATGAATCCAAAAGTTGTAGAATACTTTACCACAAATTAAAATAAGCACTTATAGTCACCCACAAGAGGAAACAAGGGAGCCAGTAATAAACCTAACTATATCAAGGCATAGTATTCATTAGATGTCAAAATCATGAACCTACTAAACGTCTTTTGGCATACCACAACGGTAGAACTTTAACCAAACATTTGGCCGCCTTTATATCATATGTAACTGGATCTTCTCCGTTGATCAAGTTGTCTAAAATGATAGAAGAGAAAAAAATCTCACTAATCACGATGAAAGACTTGTTTTTATTGTTCATAACAAAATATGCCGATTCAAAGACTTACTAGTTAGTCTGTCCATCAGACCTTGACTGTAAAACCAGTGAACTTTCTCAAAATTAGGAAACAGAAACTTCATCGGAGTTTTACATTTTTGTTCCATTCGATAAACTCTATGGTAAAAAGAACAAATAAAGCCAAGAAGATATAAATGGTAAAATCAGAACTTTATGGGGAAACCGATCAGTTAATTTTAAAGTACTACATATCATGGATCGACACTGTTATAACGGGCGGAAGAAAGATCTGAAATTTCGCCCATTATATTTTGGGTAATTGTTGTATTTATTGTTAAAGACAATTTACCAAAAGTCATTTCACAGTACCAATCTGCAACTATTTTTACAAGCCTTCTAAAAACCCGTTAATTATTTTTTTACGCCGTTCCACTGAAAAGTAGCCGTTAATTAACTGTAAATCAAATCCATTACTTTGATATTCGTATTTCCCGATGAATGAAAAAGAAAACAATCTTGTTGTAACTGATGTTTCGCTATTCAGGATTAATACCTTCATGAAAATTAGATCAATCATTTTGTAGTTTCAATGATTTTATCGTATATTTGTAATCTATTGCGTTGTGAATATTTTATTCATATGTATAAACGCATTAAATATAAATCTAATAATAGGAAGAAAGACTGACAATAAAAGGATTACGAAAACATTGCCCTGTGTCCGGTCCAGTCAGTAATTCATAGGCGAGGAAAAAGTGCTACACGAGTTCAGCTGCAACCAGACAGTGAGATGTACCGAAAGTAATAATCACTTGATGGCGTGAAGTTGTACCATAAAATTACCAGTATTAAACATATGGAACCAAACCATATAAGTTTACTTGCTGTTATAACAGATGCCAGTCACAGAATAAGTGGAAATGGCCCATGAGAAGGAAGAGAAGTCTTCTTGAGGCGACCACAGGGGAATCAGTCCAATTAATATTGTATCCAAGGTCCTAGGGGTCATAGCTATTAGACGCCCAACTGGAGCTCGAAAAGATCACACTTGGGAAAACCAGATAGGCTTCAAATACCTGGATGAGGCCACATCCATCGTATCACCACCCTTCGACAGGTTCTGCCACACAGGTAAGATTAGTGGTGACCGACACTTGCCATATTTTTTTTTGACCTGATGGCGGCATTTGACTCTGTCGTCCATGAGGTGCTGTAGCAGTGTCTGACTGTGGACAGGGTACCGCGAAAGTGTATGGCGCTAATCGAAGCTTTCTACTCGAATTCGTACAGCCATGTCAGAGCTTATGGAGAATGGTTGTGTGAATCGATGACAATTAGGGATGCCCACTGTTACCGTTCCTATATAACTTCATCATATACATACTAATGGAAATAACCTTAGGTAAACCTGTGTCTTCACGGACTAACCTGCTCCTTCGAGGGCATCTAGTCGAATTAGAGCATGCAGATGGTATTGTTGTGTTCGGTGAAGACGCTGACAAAATTTAGGATCTTCTGTACACCTTGAGTAAAATCTGAGTGTGTTTGGTATACGTTTCGCATGTGTCAAACGTAAGATGTTTCGGGAATGGACTGCACATACACCTAGTTTAAGGATGGGATTTGAAGTGGTGAAAATCGTCGATTACTCTCCTTACTTTGGGAGCTGCATCAGGTTGAACAGGCTAGTTGCTGATGCGATTCCACCTCTGATACAGAAGGCCCGTTTGACACTTGCCAACTGGCGTCATCTGTGAGACATTGCCGTTGAAGGTAGAAGACAGGAAGCGATTTCAGAATTTTAACCATAGATATCTTCATAGTATTGTTCGTGTATGGTGGAATCACTGTGTGAGCAATGTTGAGGTCAGACGAAAGGCACTAGGCAAGACAGGTGAGTCGATTCATGATGTTGTAAATCTTTGTCGTTTGTGAGGTGGCTTGGCCATGTGCTGCACATGCCTCTCCACCATCTTCTTCGATGTGCCATGCTAGGGAGAGCTAGATTAGATATGAAGAGGCCTCAGGGTGACCAGACTAAGACGTGGCATCAGTCGACGAAGTGCCTGACGGTTGGTCTGAGGGATATGTATACCGCCTGAATGCGATCCCAAGAAGATAGGAATCGTTGGTTAATAACTTTTGATAAAATGGCTGAAAAAGGTCACAACGGCACAGATGTATTCACTGGTCTACCTCACTGATCATCCCAGACTATGAGAGACAAACCTTTGTGTGACAAGCGTAGAGGAGTCAGTTTGACTAATATTGCGTCCACGATACTAGGGTCCATAGTTAATGAAACCTAAATTGAACTCGAGAACAACAAACAGGTTCCAGATCTGGACGAGATTGCATCGATCCCACTTCTACCCTCTGACAGGTTCTAGCAAAGCGGGGTCCGACAATTGCCTTAGTTCTCAACTTGAAAGTGGCACTCGACCCTGTCTACCGTGATGCCTTGTGGGGAAGTGTTTGACTATGGAGGCAGTACAGAGCAAGTATACAATGCTCACCAAAGTTTCTACTCGAACGTACACAGCCATGTAAGGGCCTATGGAGAGTGGTCATCAGAGTTGACGACAACTAAGGGTCCGCTAGGGGTGCTTATATTCACCGTCCCTATTTAACTTCGTCATAGACGTACTACTAGATACAACCTTAAGTGCGCCTGACTGACCTACTCTCTGGAGGTTATCTGGTTGACTTGCAGTGTACAGACGATATTGTCCTGTTAGGTGAAGACGCCAAGCACGTTGAGCAGAAATCTGAGTATGTCCGGCATGAGTTTTGCACCTGTCAAATGTAAGATGCTTCAGGAATGGACTGCACCTACTTCTAGTTTAAGGATGTAGTTTGAAGTGGTGGAATGCGTTGATTACTTCACTTACTTGGGGAGTTGTATCAGCTAGAATGGGCTGGTTACTGTTGAAATCTCAGCTCGGATATAAAAGTCTTGTTTGGCATTCGCCAATTTGCATAGGCTCTGACACTGGAGAGATATCTAACCGCCTGTCAAAAGGAAGAGTGTACTGTGCTGCAGTTAGCTGTGTCATGTTATACGGCTGAGATACGGCCGTTGAAGTTAAATATAAAGCGGTTGCATTATTTTATACCAGGATGCTTTGGCAGCACTGCTCATAAACGGTAGAATCACCATATGATCCAGGTTAGGTGTAGGGTACTAAGCAAGACATACAAGTATGTTTATGAGGCTGTCAACCTTCACCGCTCAACTTGGTAAGAAACGTCAACAGAAGTTGGATTAATTTGGTAGAGGGTTCAGGGTGGCTACACCAAGACGTGGCACCAATCCATGAAGTCTCTGACGGTTAGTCTGAGGCCTGTAGACTGTCTTTCTGAAGTCCCCAAGACGGTAAGAATCAGCAGTTGCAGATTCTTAGTAACATGGCTGAAAATCAGTCGGAAAGGTGCAGGCGTATATACTTATTCATGTCTTCTAAAGCTTGAATATTCGCACTTACCTTTATCTTGAAACTGTTTCTTCACACACCGTCTACTTTGATATCAGTCTTCTTCTATCCCCTTTTTCTTTTTGTGCTCCTGTTAAGCATGGCAACTTGAACTGATGCGCTTGTGTGCAACGTTCTAGGTTGATTTTGCCTGTCTCTGGAGTACCGGTTCTCTTAAAGAGTGATCAACGACTGGTACTCAATACCAGAACAAATGATAGCAGATACTTAGGCGAACACATTCAGGGAAAAACTGTATCCTATAGAGATAACTAGTGGAAAGGTTAACAGGTTTTTAATTTAATACTCTCACAGCTGAAGACTTATGTAACTAAAAGAAGTCCAGAACTCTTAATTTCGCGGCCACGATACTCAAGTACGGGAAATCGGACTTCAAGTTTAAGCTGGCTTTATCTACCTAGGCTTAGGAGATCAGTTAGTATTGCAATCTTTCACACACTAGATGTGGGCCACAGCCTAGCAAAAGACGCATAGCATTACTCAGAAGCTTTACATATACTGCAACGACACACCATCCAATCAGAGGAAGAATGGAGTAAGAATACATAAGTGTTTTGGCTGAGCTAGCTGAATCGCACAAAAACGAAAAGTCAGAGAAAGAATAAAAACATGAGGCTTAGCTGGGAAATGAGTAGACAGTATAGAAGCGTCCAAAAGTGCTGGCAATTTCGATGATCATTTATACTTTCCAACCACCGTCTGTCAGTTAGGCGGCATATAGTATGCACAGATCGGATTACAAGTCCAAGATTCGATGGAACGGAGCTATTTCGCAACAAAACCTTACTTTAACTTATTTTATTCCGGTGAAGTTTCATATATTTGGGATAACTGAATAATCGTGTTGATGAAGTTAACAGAATGAAATGCAACGCCGGTATTAAAATAACATTGCTGGCTGAATTTTACTTGAACTACACATCATATGAATCCATAAATGTCCATTTAAAGTGATATCATTAATATCTGAGGGCGAAAAAAACTGAAAATTCTGTCTTGATGCATAAGTGAATAACTATTTAGCACACAATGATACAAAAACGACTACCGGTCAATAAAACACACGGTAAGAACCGTTCAATTTACAAAACCGTCAGAAACCATACCTTAGTTGTGTAGACACGTGTAGACCATCTAGAAAATTCCCTCCAAAGACAAGACAGTCAGAGGTAGTGTAAACAGCATGAATCCAACCTGATGGCAGAAAGATTGTTTGACCAGGTAAAACGTGGAGACAGTAGACTTTTGGTTCGCTCATGTTGCCTATCGACTCTATGGATAAAAAGTCAACTTATGTCAGCATGACCAAAGGATAAATTATATTTAATGTTATGCGAACACAAATACGTACCTTTCCTACGCAAATTCGCCACAAAGTCGGGGAAAAATATTGATCTGTGGTCGTTGTCCATACACCATTGCCAGTAAGCAGAAAAGTATTCATGAGTAGGTGGCATTAGGTAAAACACCTTCTCACCCTGTGTTCAGAAATGTTACATTGATTAGAACACTTGCCCACAAAACATGGTACCACACAGATGATCCACCGAAATCTATGTGGAAGTCAGTGTAGCTACCTTGCATACTCAGAAGACAGTACTTCTGAACAGTAGGCGCAGTCTCATCAAAAAACTCACTACTCTCATCCGCATCATCTGGCCAGCAAGTTGTAACAAGACTGAGTTCTGAAACAACATGCGGGGGGTGTACAAAATTAGCTAAGCTGCTTTTAATAGATACATAGTGTGTATTACCTGGTCCTAGAAAACTCCAAACTCAACATATTCAACAAAACGGGCCGTGAGGTAGAAGAAAAGTGGTTAACCAAATCCTGAAGCGTCATTTGTATTTCCACCTGCTGCCGAACATCGATAACATCGACAACGGTACTAGGATCTACACCAAATTAAGGCTAATAATCATGAATACCTATAAATTGTATCAAATCTCTATGCGTGAAGGTTTCCAGTGGGACTTTGAGTCGCAGACCATCCTTGGATCTCACTATTACAGGCTTGACGAAACCATTTGTCTTAAAATTATGCCCACAGACATCACAACCATTCATTACCAACACTTGGTCATCAGCACTATTGAGATAAATTGCTTTAGTAGACAGCTAAATACCTTGGAAATTCACGGGACAAAAGCATTTCTATAAATTCTTGCGAGCCAGAAAAAGCCATTCGACAGTTTGAAAGGGGAATTCGAAAATCCTAAACACAGTAAAATCTGAATTATGTGAGCAGACATTAGTCCATCTGACGTAGCGCGAAAACCGTAATGCGCACAATACTACATGTTGATGAAATCATGAGTGCTCGAAGCAAGTCTTCAAAACCTTATGCTGTAGAAGTAGTGAACTTGGCTTATCGCAGCTTTGAAATGTGATGAAGATTGATGATTTTATGTTAAGAGTTTTCATTCCTGTTTCCTTCTCACAATTCAACATCAACAGTGCCAGCAAAGGAATCTGATAGTTTTGATCTCTCTGATCTAGTTCTTGGAGATTGGTGCTTCCTCTTTGCGTAGCTCCAGCAGTGGGCAGAAAAATCTGTTCTCCTCTCCAGCCCTCAGCTTCGGTGAGGTGAATGCTTTTGAGGGTTGATAATAGTAATTTGCAGACTGAGATGATTAAGGAGCCACGGGTTATTGGGACGATAAGAAGTCTTTCTTGACTCTTGTCTGCATAGATGTTTAAATAGGAATTGTAAGATAGTAAGAAAGGCATATAGAAGTTATCCGAAGGTTAAAAGCAGGTGGTGTGAGTCTAGTTACTAGAGAAAGGTTGCTGGTAGATGTATATCAACAAGAGGGGTGAACAGTAATAAATTGGAAGGAGATAATGGTGGGCTAGTGAGGTCAATAATGCCATCTGCACATCTGTGATAAGTCATACGGCAAGACATAACTGCCTAACCGTCTTCTGGATGAGTCCATAAAACAAATTATGACTACAGAGTGCTTCTTAATGCTTCTTAATCAGCCCACTGTTGTTTGCCCAGCTTTGAAGCTAGTTTTAATCCTCCCATAGGAAAACCATGTGTTATCGACTTCCGATTTCAAGCCCCAGTTTCACTTCCTCGGTGATAAACAGGGTTTCAAAAGGAGCCTGCAGGAGTCATCTATCTGTTTATATTAGAAAAAGAACAGACCCTGGTACTGAACGGTTAGGAAATCCATTTGAATGGTCTGTCCCATAACACGCAGGTGAACTTGGTTCAGACTTCATTGAAATTCTCAAAAACCTTCTGGCAACCGGTCAGTGAGCGGTTGGTCGATTATTTTTAGTTTAATAATGTGGAGGTCATGGATGGCATGATCAAACTCTACAGAAAAGTCGAGATGAGTAATACCGTTACAGAAATACTGGCCCACTTATCTGCCGCCAAAAGCAAGGTAGTAACGCGAGATTATTCTTTCTGATATTCATCCTATAGGTGCGTAAAGAAGTCGATTGACGAAAGGTGAATATTGTGGATTTCACTTAAGGCTGAAGCAAGAATTAGGGGAAGGAATATTATCATCTAGAGTATCTAAAGAGGACGCCAGGAATTAGGTGCTATTTAGTCTAATAATCTACTTGTAGAATACCTTTGAGGTTTTGAGTAGTTCATTTCTCACATCATAGTTGAAGCCATTTTAGAAATGCTTGAAGATGGTGAGAACCGGTAGGAGCTTTGATATGCACATATAGGGTTGGGGGAAGATAGTTACTGTAATCCTAAGGGAAGGGGGATGAAGAGCGTATACTTAGTCCAATGACCTCAGATGAGGGTGGTTTCCGTAGGTCCCCACCACCAGATAAGCCATCTCGTGTTGCCAGGCCGATTTTATATTTTGAATTATTTTACAACCTGTTGGCCATGCTCTTGTAAAATATACTATCATAAAATTTGTTTTAAAGAAACCTCCTTTCCGCTTGCTAATCCTAATGTTTTTTACAGAAGCCTACGACCACTGCGCGTTCTTTTTAGTATTGCGCAGTGGGGGTATATGAGTAGTTAATAGTAATACATTTCAAACAACATTGGCTACATGAAAACAAGATGTGCCTAGGGTGAGATAAGAGCCAGAAACATGGGTCCTAGTGATGATAAGCTAAAGTTATTTACTTGGAGTGAGGAGTAAAAGACCTACTTTCCATGGTTTAGAATGAATAAGTGTTAAGTTAAGAGACCAGTTAGGTCACGAAGAAATGGAGGTTACATCAGGGCAGCTACGCAGTTAAGCGTTACAAATTGTATCACACTTTGCTTGCTGTCCTCTCTGGGTCAGTTGTTTCGTTAGATTTGGTCTTAACCTATGCGCCTAGCTTTCGGCATTGTGCACTTTTGTCGTTGCTGCTAGCCCGCCTTGGGTCTAGGTACCGGAAGCACCATTGTACATGGCATCACCGTTTGCGATTTGGCTGTCAACGAATTGGTGAGAATCGTCAGATAGTAGGGATTCTGTAAGTAATCGCCGAGGCTGGCCGATAGACGACATGCTGGTATAGAAGCTGCAAGTTTGTTCCGTAGCGTACTATATTGCGTTATGAAAAACCCACACCGAAGTTTTGAGCGATACTTATTTATTGGAATGGTGTGTTCGCTATAACGCAGACTATATGCCGGCGTTGGTTTAAAAGTAATAGTACGGTTCGTTTTAGAGTTTCCATATAAAAGACCAAAGAAAAAGGTTGGGTTGAGCCCCAGGCGAAAGAAGAAGAAAGCTTAAGCTGAGCTTCAGGGGACCGGGTTTCCATTTCTGAAGAAGGTGACATCGCTTTTGAGAGATCTTGTGCCTGTTTGCGAGTGCAGTTTGTTGATCTGCCCGAGCCTACCGTCGTGTCGTCGGCTCTACTATGTCTGTGTGTAAGTTATTTTTTAGGGCCTAGGTGTGCCCCATGCCGTTGTTTTAGTACACCAACCAGTTTACCAACAGATTGTGTCGCTGCTGTGGATATAACAGCCTGACTAGATTTAGCCGTCTTTGGTATTTTTATGTGACCACGTCTTTGACAGCGTGTTAAGTTTTGTGAACGTTTGACACTTTTATGTGGTGTGGGTACACTGATAAATTGGTTGGATGACAAGAAGTGTCTGGTGTGGCAAGAGCTATTAAATTTGAACAACGAGGGGCAGGTATATTCCCCCAACTTCTTGCGTAAACGGATAACTTAGCATCCTGCAAAAGACATATTACAAGCCTGCAAGCAAGGCTTTTAGTTATTAGATCGGTTCGTGTTCGGGTATGCTGTATACTAGCACATTATGTGAAGACATAATTCTTTTGTTAGCCTCTGTAGTTATGACATGTAGCGCACTTTCTGATTTCAATGGGCTTTCAGCACTGGCTTCTAGATTAGGCCGACTAAGATGCAACAGTGGCAGGATAACTTCAAGCTTAGCGTTCGTGTCTTGCAAGGTTATCAAATCTTCCTGATTTTTACTTGAAGTGTTATATAGCCCCGGTATCAAATCGAGTACCTTAACTTCAGGGCCTCTTCTAGAGCTTGATACCGGACGAGTTGGCGAACGTACTCTTTTAGTTGAGACGCTAGGATTAAGTTTGCGTGTATGCACAGCATATATAAGTTTGTTGGGCTGCGCCACGGTTGAATAGTGGTAGTCACTCGTTTACTGGGTTGGCTAATACTGCAAAGCAAGTAACATAACCAGCAGTTACAGAAGGATCAGTAACGACTTACGCAACAAATATGATAGCTATTAGTAAATGTTTCTTTACAGTTTTGGTAAAGTGTATTGAAAAACCAGTATGTCTCGGAGTAAACAGCGTTAGTTCGGGACTAAATAAAGTGAGAGGGACAAACAACTTCTCTTTCGGTTGGTCCTCGATTTCGTTCCTCTGTTTTCTCAGCAGTAATTTCTTGCATCCCGCTGTGTATGTCTAAATGGCTGTTTATGCATAAATTAGCGTTTACATTTACTTCGAGTGAGTCTAAAAAGACAAGAACTTCTCTATTCACAGCTTTTCTTGCGTGGTATTCTATTGCCCAGTTTCTCCCTGCGCTTTCTTTTTTCATTCCTTTTCAGTACCAACCTGACGAGAAAATCCTTAGCATTGATTTGACCAAAAAGTATCAACTTACTGAAAATTCGACTTCTTACGTAATATTGGAAACATGTTAGAATTCTTCAGCTAACTTTGCGTCGATTTCCCTGTTTCTTGAACGGCTCCACAATCAACACACCTGAATACCGGTGCCCTAAATGCTGCCACATACGAAACCTCAAGCAAGATGACTGGTCTCCAACTTCCGGTCGGTCACAAATGCAGCGGAAATCTGGAAGAACAACCTAATCTGAGGGATCACTTTACCTGAAGACAACACATCCATAACGATGCTATGCAGCGGATTTCTTAGGCACTTTGCCTTGCATGAATCCACTTAGTAGAAGACGATTACCAGCCGATGTATCTCCTTGACAACGTTGCACGCTTCAAAGTGAAATCTACTAGGTTTTATACACGTGTAAAACCCACCACTGTTGAACGACGGTTCTTACAGTCTTTAAGAACTTGCACCACAGTAAGTATTTTTAGTAGTAACAATCTGAATTGCTGGGAAAGATAACACTTGAAGAGTGAGAAATGCTTGAACCTAGATATTCACCTGGATTAGGTGATTATATGGACACTCACTTACTCCTGATATCTTTGAAGTAAGTTATTCCTGGTCAATAAAGCTACAAACATAAGAAATAGACTTTTATCTGACAAGCATTGGGTTTTACAGACGGGTTAATCGTATTGACTACTTATAGCGCAAGCACTGAACACTGCACCGTTTGACGCTACTTTAGTGTGAAAAAAGAATTGTGAGTAGGACCTACTCAAAACTAAAACGACGTGTATGTACTGTAAAGTAATATTTTCCCGCTCTTTTCACAATTTTCGGACACCTGATATCATGACAGAGTTTAATTTCTTCCCCTCTGTGGTATTCAACACTACTGATTTCTTTTAGGTTTCTCTCCAACTACCACTTCAGTGATGCCTGTGAACCGGCTTCTCTCATGTTAAATTCGCAACCTGGGAATAAAAGACCCACTTATTTGTTTATTTATTCTCGAAGACACCATCTTAACTTTTGGTTCATCTCCGTGCTCTCAGGTCACCGTTGAAAGGTAGAAATGCAAAGGAAACTTGTTGAGAGAAATATTTGATACATATTAGGAAA